TCTGATTCGGGAGTGCAGTGTGATTGTAGGTGAGGGTTTGTGGAATGCGTAGGCTGCTCGTCATTCTTTCAGATAGACCAGGCTGATGTTGCATGAGTAACCACATGTGCTGCTGATGCATTTGTCAGAGCACAACGGGCCCAATGAGACTCGAAGTTCACCTTGCAGGAAGCAGAGCGGTTTGCTTTGTGGAGTTCCTGCGCAGCGCCGTGCAGCACGGACGAAGGGGGGGGGGTCTGAGGGTCCCGCCTGGGAAGATTGACAGACGGCAGGGATTGAGCCAGCGGTGTAGGAGCTGCAGGGTTTGCTTGGACCTTGGTTCTTCGTTCGGGGGTACCTTGGTTTCGTTTCGAGATCGGGGTCGAATGATTTGCGTGTTCTGGTCAGCGCACCATTGGGTTTGGACCTTTAAGACCAGTGGTTCGTTCTTGAGGTCACGACCCACCAAGGTTTCCCTCTTGAGCCAACCTTGAAGCCCCAAAACCTTAAATGCCCTCACAAGCATACGAATGCCACTGACCCGCAACCTCTTCTCCTCCAGAGGCCTCCGCTCTCGGCAGCGGCTGCCTTGGCCTGGACTGCAGGGCGACTGAGACACCGCGGCCGATGCGACGGACATGGATCCACCTTCCTGCGTTGCCTGGCTGGGACTCTAGACTCTCTGGACGTAGTCAACATGTCCCTTAAATGGGGGCCCTCCGGCTCAGTGGAATTGGAGTTTTGGCCCAGGCGCACGTCACTTTCGCGTGGATGAGGTGAAGACCACTGAGCTTGAGGACGTCCACTTTCGTTGCCTTGGGGGCTCTTCGGATGGGTTTTCTGGTGTTTTGCTCATGGGACTTAGGTTGCAGGGTTCAGGGCTGTTAGTGTGGCGATATAGCCGGGTCTGAGGAGGCGCTGCGGTTCCTCGGCTTCGCAGAGTTCCCGAAGATGAAGAACCGGCAGACCCTGGCCATTTGAAAGCGGTCAGAGGGTTCCGGGTTTTGGGTATTTTTTTGTGGCAGAGTGTGCTTGTCGGTGTTGTTTCAGAGAGCCCTGTTCTGTGAATATAGAGACGGACGCAGATGCAAACGTTGTTTGTAAACGCAAGCTGAATTAGCTGTGTGTGGGTGGTGCGACGGGAGCCAGCGGCGGTTGCAAAATGAAACGGCAACGCCCCCTAAACTCAGAACACTTCGCTATGAGCTTAACCACGACAGGCCCGAATCGAGGCCGAGCATACAACGCGACTCACGTTACCGCTTGCAAAGGTTGGCAGCCATGCAGTTCGCGATTAGGGTCTCAGAGAGGTCTCCTCGGCAACTAGGATCGGGCTGCTTAAGCCGTGTCGGAAGGCCTTAGGTGGAGTCTTCGGCCTATATTCAGTGGATGTAACAAGTGATTGCAACTGCCTGCCTTCCGACTGAGCCCTAAGGTCAATTGGATCAAGAAGTACCGCATTCCTCATCAGATGCTGGAGGGGGCCGTTTCTGAGGTCCGGAAGCTCCGAAAGGTGCCAGTGCTTTGCTTGGGCGTAAAGGCGTAAAGTTCCCTTCTGCGGTATGAGGCCTTGTCCCAAACCCCGGCCAGGCAGACCTCCGGTCCAAAACTCAGTCTGCCAAGGCATGGCGGGGGCTGGGGTGGGGGGGGTGGGAGGGGCGTTGGGGATGTTGACGTGCCGACGCGCTCTCGGACACCTCGCATTTGCTGTGTTGGGCCGATGCTCTGCATGAGAGCTTGCCTGCAAGTATCCTCAGTGGTCTGCTTGGTGAGATAGGCCACTTGGCGGAGTGGTCCGCCGTAGAATTAGACAGAGCAGAATCTTTCCATCGTCACACCTTCTTAGGTTTGTGGCAGCTCACAGCGAACTCCAGAAACCAACCCGGAGCCCTGCACCCCGAAAGGCCACGCTCTCTTGGCTTCAACCATGGATGCACACTTGACCAGGTTGAAAAAACACAAAGCCCCTTGATGGTCCATCCCCTCACAAGTCCGAAAAGTTTAATTAGCTTTAACTACTGTTATCCCGCCGGATATCCACTTCTACATCACCTGACCTACCCGAACCCTGAGAAACCAACTGCCATGCGGAGGACAGAGCAGAACGCCGCGACAGCTCGAGGAGCCCTCAGCGGTTTTTTGGGATTTGCAGGGCTTTGGCATATTTTGGCATTTGGAGACATTGGAGCAACACATTCAGGCTCGGAGGCAAAACCCCTGAGCCCTACTGGTCGTCCTCCCTGCAGGGCGATTTGCCCCAGCTGCCCAAAGTCTGAGCTGTATACAAAATCCACCCCATCCAGCTGTACAGGTCAAAGTTTTTCCCCCAGCTGCAGTGTGGTCACTGACCAGCTAGTCAGGTGTTTGAAAACTCAATTTGCCAGGTGCTATTGCTGCAACACCTGTCTAGTAAGACTGAAGTCACCAAGTTCAGGCAAAGACGTCGATGTTCGGGACTTGAGTTTGTGCTGGCAAACCCTAAACCCTAAACCCCCGGCCTTGTGCGAGTGTGAGAGTCGAAACCCTAACCCTAAACCCTAAACCCTAAACCGCTTGCGAAACGGGTGGGAAAAAAAAAAAACCCTAAACCCTAAACCCTAAACCCTAAACCCTAAACCCTAAACCCTAAACCCTAAACCCTAAACCCTACAAAAAAAACCCTAAACCCTAAACCCTAAACCCTAAACCCTAAACCCTAAACCGGTGTATGGGTGTATGTGTCAGGAGCAGCAACTCCCGGAATGGCCGACGGAGGAGGTTGGGGTATCAGCATCTGCAAATTGGCCAAGCAGCTGTGGCTTGAGTAGCGGGCTTCCGGGCCAAGGCTCACACTGTCTGTTGCTGGAACGGTAGGACAGCCAGTCCCTCAAGTTACATACTGCCGAGTATTTCTCCCCTGTCCCTTCCTCCGCTCTATGCGCGTGGAGCTTTGCAGTAGCAAGTAGCCCCGAGTGCTGCATTTGCAGAGCCTTTTCCCTCAGAGGACGGTTTGGGTTTGCAGGGTTGGGAAGACTTGGGCTTCAATCACATTGCCTGCATGCTTTTGTTGTGTTTCGGTGCCCGAGTGTACCTTCACGGTTCACCCTGCCTGCTTTCCTATCTTTCCGTTATGTCCCATCATGGCCCCCGACAATTTCGAGGCTTGAGGTGACTTCAATCAAGCCCCTCCCGCCCCTATGAAATCCATGGAAGTCCGGCAGGACGGTTGTCGGTTCGCGCTGCTGTGCAGAGAAAATGCTACGGTTCAACGAAGTCCTTCGTTCACTTCATGCAGGGAGAACCAACCCAGCAACCTCTACGAGTTCGCGGAGGGGCAGCTTCGGACGGTCCTGCGCCTTCTTTGCATTGACTTGCAGGGGGGACCTGCGTGTAGTCTTGTTACACTGACGGGACAACGTGTATCTAGGTGACAATAAACATGACACAAAGCAAAAATCAGTGTAACGCTCCCTCAGCACCCGCACCCCAAACACCTCAACTATTTCATTGCATTTGGTGTGTTGATTTTCACCCACCCCCCCTTTCGTGTGAGAGCCCGTCGCGACCGACAATGGGGGAAATACCCAATTTCTGGAGAATCCACCTCCAAAGGAGGAGGGTTTCAGAGGCCTAAACCCCAATTCTGGGCCACTACCAGTAGTTGTTGTACTGATTCGGATTAGGGGCCATCATCATCATAGTGTTCAAACTTGAAGGGCGTCATTCTAAGATTCTATGAGGAGTTGAGGCGCGTTGTGAGGGGCCGGTGGAGCTGAACCGAGGAACGTTTGCGGCGTCCCGGGCACGTCGGAGTGGCACAAGCGAGATCTTGTTGCTGGCCTCACACTTCTGACAATTTCGGGGCCCTGTATATGTAGATGCCCGTGGCCTCCATGAATCCCAACCATGTCGGAACTCCGAGGTTCGAAAACTTCAGACGATGGGTATCCGAGTCAGGGATGTTCAGGCGCTGATGGACGAGGCTTTTTGCCGTGTTCAAGTTTGTCAGCCTGACATCTAACTTAAATCATAAATCTGCTTGTAGCCACCACGCCCCACCCTGCTGCCCGCTCCCGATAGCCCCTCTGGCGCTGCAGATGAATCCTGCGCCAAAGCGCCAGAAGCGGACGAACTCACGGAGCAAAGCCAAACGCAGGCCAGACACTTGATGCTGACCTGCGTTCTGGCTAGGGGCTTCAGGGGAGAGTCAATGTTTCCATCTGCCTTGTCGGGGTTGTTGAGGGCTTTTGTGTGTGGCTGGCAGACCCGTAGTGGAGGCGTCCCATGTCCCGCGCAGAGCGCGAGTTCTTCGCCGACGATGCCAGGGTCGTTTCCGAGTTGCTGGAGCTGCACGACCTTCCCTTGCAAAACTGAGTAAGGTCCCTGTTCTTTTCCTTAGTGACCGGCTGCTCGATGCCTTTCTAGCGAGTTTAAAATGGAGAGCCCCAGAGTCCCAGAGTAAGAGTTCACACACCCCGTGCTGCATCTGAGACCATGGCTTAAACCGCTTGACACTGGGGCATTGGTGTTGAACGAACCTCGAGGTTTCTTCGCGAGGAGTACGATGACTGGGACGACGACGACGATGACGATGTGGTGCATGGCTTAGCTGATTGGTTTGTGTGAGGCTAAAGAGACTCCAAAAACCTAACCCCTCACTATTTCCGGGTGTTGGCGCTCCTGCCTTGGCCCTTACTTGGGCCAAGATACGTGAAATCAGAACGCCAGGACGTGCGAGGGTTGACGGCAGAACTTGTTGCTTGTGACCCCACCAGCCAGCGCCTCTTAAGTTGAGTCAAGGCTTTGGAAGTTTTGCCGAAGGCTGTAGCACAGGATCCCGACACCCGAGAGAGTGGAATCAGGTTGCTACGGCTGATGTGGGTTTCTTGGAAGCGCATCGTGTTCGAGCTGCCAGCGTGCCGCACGCCATTTCCCTTCAAATCAGGTCATGCGAACGGAGAGTAGATTGGAATTTCAGTCGTTGGCTATATCCCAGCTGCCATGGCCTGCATCACCTGGATGTGTTGTGTGCCCCCAGCAAGATGAGAAAGCGCGGGCAAGCAGAGATTGCAGGCCCAGCGAGTGATGGTCCTGGCGCGCAGAAGCGACCACGAGGACGCTTTCTGCGGCCAGATCAAGCAGCTGCCATCAAACGAAGGCAGCAGCTCGAAAAGAAGGCTGTGCGGCGACGCCTTGCACTATGGCGCTCACGGATAGTGGATGGTGCACGGCAGACGGTCTACGTAACGTTGGCTGGGGATGTGCTGAAAAAGGGTGCAAGGGCATACAGAGCTGCTTCCGCAGATCAGCAGTACCTTAAGGCTTGCGGAATCGCAAGCAATCAGCCTGCCAATTCAGAAATTGAAGTGCCAGAGGAGATTCAGCCCTATGCTAGCTGCAGAGGGCAGAACCCGCTGGAGCTTGCGTTTTGGTGTGTCCCACGGTCCGTGCAGGCCTGCCTCCTCGAAACCGGCATACAGCACCTGCACAGGTGGCAGGCTGAATGCCTGAGCTGCCCTCAGGTCCGGGTGGCAGGACAATCTCTCGTGTATGTCGCTCCCACCAGTGCGGGAAAGTCTTTGGTATCCGAGGTCTTAATACTGCGACAACTTCTGTTTCATGGACGACGGGCTCTGATTGTCCTGCCATTTGTGTCAATCTGCGCAGAGAAGGTCCAGAAACTTCGCCACTGCTTTGGAGCTTGCGGACTTCGTGTGGAAGGTCTGTACTCATCATCCGACGGGAAGTGGCATCCAGGCGTGGATGTTGCTGTTTGCACCATTGAGAAGGCCAGCTCCTTGCTGAATCGGTTGCTCGAGGAAGATGCGCTTCTCCGCGACATTGGTGTTGTGGTTGTGGATGAGATGCACCTTCTCGGTGATGAGCACAGGGGCTATCTGTTGGAGCTTATCTTGGTAAAGGCAAGGCTCAGCGCCGACATGGCTGCACAAGGCGCTGGCCTTCAAATCATCGGCATGTCAGCCACGCTTCCGAACGTGAACCTGCTAGCAGACTGGCTGGGCGCCCGGCTCTACGTGAGCTTGGACCGGCCGGTCCCGCTCAGCCTGTCGGTCGCTTTGAAGGGCCAGGTCCTGCACCAGAAAGCGAAAGACCCGAGGGTCGAAGCTTGCATGGCAAGAATTGTTAACACCAGTCGAGATCCAGATGGGCTTGTGCCCTTGGTTTGGGAGTGCGTTTCGATGCAGCAGTCGGTCCTCGTCTTTTGCGCGACAAAGGACTGGTGTGAGAAGGCGGCTGCCCTGCTGGCTGCCGAGATGCCGCGCCTGGATCAGCTGGAGACAGAGAATTCAGGTTATGGTGATGCATGCCAGGTGCAGAGGTTTCAGCTCGTGGAGGAATTGAAGCAGACACATTCCGGCCTGTGCCCGGTCCTCGCTCAGACGGTGCTCAATGGCGTGGCCTATCACCACGCAGGTCTTACAACGGAGGAACGCAGTCTGCTAGAAGCGGCTTACAGGACGGGAGTCTTGCGCTGCCTTTGTGCCACGTCTACTCTGGCTGCCGGGGTCAACCTTCCAGCTCGGCGTGTCATCATCCGATCCATGAAGGTGGGGAGAGATCCGCTTGATGCCGTGCGGTTCAGGCAAATGGCAGGGCGTGCGGGGCGTGTTGGCTTCGATACGGAGGGTGAATGCATCGTTATGGTGAAGTCTCTGAAAGAAGCAGACGAGGCTCAGGCCCTCTTCGCCGCCCAGCTGCAGCCGCTGCGGTCTGCGCTGGGCAAGGAACGCTTGGTCAGGGCCGGGTTTGCAACAACAGCCCAACCAGCTTTTCAACAATTGTCCCCAACTTACGTGGGCTCCCCAAGTAGGATCGTCGCCCCTATCTAGATGTGGCGGTGTCCCTGACAGGCAGTGCTGGAGGTCGTCAGCTTGGGGCTCATTCGGACTGTGGATGAGCTGGAAGTGCGTTTTGCCAGGAGGCTCTTCCGCTTTTACGACGAGCGGTTCTCGGCAGGCTGTGGTCCGGATGCTATGGTTGTCCCGCCAACTCTGCTGGAAGACCTGCGTTGGGCGCTCTGCGCACTGAAGGCGCAGCGGCTCATCGAAGTAGACGATGGCCGCCTCCAGTGCAGCGAGAGGTACCAACCCGGGTCATCGATTCCACAGCAAGCAGCGACAGCCGCGACAGCCGCGACAGCCGCGACAGCCGGGACAGCCGCGACAGTCGCGACAGCCGCGATTCGCCCCACTCCCCTGGGCAACGGCATCGTTCATTCTGCCCTCAAACCTGAAGAGGCCCTAAGCGTATTTTCGGATCTTCAGAGAGCTCGAAAGGGCCTTTGTCTGGACAACGACCTCCACCTCATCTTCCTGGCCACGCCTGCTACAGCCCTTGCCATTGAGCCAGATTGGGCGAGATACCTCAGCTACTATGAGAAGCTTCAAGCACGGGATCGGGCCGTTGCCGATGCAGTCGGAGTCTCGCATCACTTTCTGCTGAAGCAGTCCATGGGACACCGTGGGCCCCTCCCTGCAAGCGGAAGCGGCGGAAGCGGCGGAAGCGGCGGAAGCGGCGGAAGCGGCGGAAGCGGAGGCGATGGCGACTGGCGCCAGGACCGGGAGCGCGTCACGGCCCTGCATCGACGCTTTTGGGCAGCTCTGGCCTTGCGAGAGCTGGCTGCAGAGAGACCTCCCGATCGAGTTGCCAATGCCTTCGCAGCTTCAAGGGGATCGCTTCAAGCATTGCAGGGACTGGCAGCTACATACTGCGGAATGGTGCGACAGTTGTGCGAACGGGTTCACTGGAACGACATGGCGGCGCTCTTTCAGTGCCTGATGCCGCGGCTCCACTTTGGGGCTGCGACAGAAGCACTCCCCCTGTGCCACATTCCTGGAGTCCATTCGGCACGGGCCAGGGCACTGCTGCAAGTTGGCCTGTCCAAGGTTGAAGAGGTTGCACAGTCCCCAACCTCGATGATCGAGTCTGCGCTCAGAAAGCTCTGCCAGCTTGACTGTGCCTCGGGAGCTGCGCAGGACCATCCAGACCAGCGGGAGGCTGTTATCCGCCAGGCTGCGCTCCGGATCATCCAGGGAGCACAGCAGCAGGTCAACGCGGAGCTGCAGCGAATGCAGGATGAGACAGACGAGGCTCGAGCGCGCTTAGGCCGAAAACACCATGCCTGCGGCCTAGAAGAGGGAGGCCTGGAGTCTACAGAGCAGCGGATTATGCGGATTGGATGTGGCTTGAGCATCAGCCTGGCATATCCACGCTGTGAGGGGAACATCACTGATAAGAATCGTCACGTTGCGTTAGAATGCGCTAAAGCACTGCACCTGTAAGGATGACTACTTCAAGTACACAATGGATGATGAGCCCTGGGAGTCCGTCCCTTGGGTGCCTTGTCCAGAGATGGTGGAGGGCGTAGACATGTTTAGACCAAGGCAAAAACTCTGAGATTCTCGTGGGTTGCATGGGGGTTGGGTCTTTGAGCATGCAGGATTCGGACTTCGACGACTACTTCGACGATGCGCACGCCACGCACCCACAGAAGAGAGAGTGTTGGGGAGCCGGCATATTTCGCTTCAAGAAGACTTAGAGATCCGGTGACGTTTGTCTCTATTGTTCGGGGCTTCAGGTTGTGGGTTCCATGTTCTCAGAAAAAGGTTTTGTTCTTACCTTATGCGCCAGAGCTCCTGAAGCCAGAATCCCTTGAAGGCTTTGAAAGGTTTCAACAGTGTTGAAGTCCGCCAGTCAATTTTCGTGGGCAAAGCCCTACACTGGCCTCGAAACCCTAAACCCTCCAGGAACAAACCGAAGCCTAAACGCCCTCAAGCCTCAACTTCCCCAAACACGTCGCCCAACACCCAGAATGCGCCGAGGAAGAGACGCAGTACGGGAATTTCCGACGTACCCTGGCCGTTGAGACCGTGAGAGGGCCTTGCTTGCGTGAGCCTTCAAGACTCAAGATGCACAAAGGTGGTGTATAGGAAGCAAAAGCTCAGGATCGAGTAGGCATGGCTCGGAGTCCTTTCTGACCTGGGTATGCTGTTTTGCAAGGACCTGCTCCTCAGCAAAGGGTTGCTTTACAGTAGGCTCTACCCTCTCAGGCCCGGCGTTGCGCCCTTTCCGTTTTGTTGTTCTCGTTTCCACTCTGGTGCAGCATGTGCAGAGAGAGCCAGGGGATGCTTTCCTTGTGTGCCTGCCAGCGCAAATGAGCTTTCAATGGGCTGAGGTGGTGAGGAAGGCCCGGCGCAGAACTACAGCCCCTCGGCATCGCGCTAGGCTTAGGTGGGTTTCTTTAGGAACTTTCTTATTGGTTTCGAACTTTTTGGGATGGACTCTTTCAGTGTTTAACCCTGGCCCCTGAGCCCGACAGGGCCCGAAACTCCACAAACGAAGGCTATTCAGCCCCTGGCCCGGACCCGTGGAACAGCCCGGGCGGCTGGACCTACTCTTCGGCGGCGCCTGGGCCTGACCCACCCCCCCGGCAGTGAGAGGCGCAGCGCGAGCAAGCGTTCTGCCTTTCACCAAGTATCTGGCAGAGTTCCCCCTTCCAACCCGATCCTCCCAAAACCAAGGGAGCATGTTTAAAGTTTGGCAAAAGGGAACTCATCCGCCCAGTCTGACTACAGCAACTACAGCAGCGGCAGCTACGCCTCTCAGTCCAGCACTTCGACGGGAAGCACCTGGCCTAAGGCCCCCAAGGTCACCCCCGAGGCTGGATTGGGCTGTAAGAGCGGCTTCATTTTGGGTGCGACAGACATTCGGGCTGTGTTTCGTTCCAGCGAATGCCCTGTGCCGGCCTTCAATGCACCGTGCAGGAAGCCATGACCCGGGCGCTGCGCGAGGGCTGGCAAGCGGAGGGCATGTCCCGAACGCAGGCTCACAACACAACAGGGCTGTTGGAGTCGGGTGTTTGTACGGCTCACGGGTTCAAGTTTAGGTTTTGGCCCTTGAACCAAAAAGCACTATAAAAAATGAAAACAAAAACCGGCACGCGCAGCGATGGTCTCGAGTCGCACGTTCGTTTGAATGCGGGAGGTTGGACCATTGGAGAGAACGATCGGTCGGACAGCTTAGTTTCGACATCGAAGCCAAGTTGTGGCGCAACATGGCGGAAGGTTTGAACGAGCGCTCGATACATGTGAGCCCAGGTGATCTCAACAGTAAGTTCGACTTCTGATACTTCTCGGGCGCGTTGGCCTTGTCGCTTATACAGCGTAGTTTCGTACGAGACACGGTATTCCAAGATAGAGAAAAACACAAAGTGTCTGGGCACCACAGATGATATACATCATTTGGTGGTGATGGTGTTGTTTCCAGCCGTTGAACTTGGTGACCAGGCATTGTGCCATATCCGACGAGCTAACAACCTTGGAGATCATGATGCCGTTTGTTGGGTACACCCTCATGTCAAGATTGATCAAGGCTATTCCAGGCTCATAAGCCACAAGCCGATGAATTCGGCACAAGCAGCCCGTTGCGCGAGGAGATTCATGGGCCGATCGTGAACCACGACATCAGTTTAATACTTACTTGAGTGAACGATGTTGCGTCTTTTTGCACACTGCATTGTGGTCTTCTTGTACCTTGCTTGGGGTCTGCTCACACCTGCTTTGAAGTCCACAAGCTGCTGCCTTGCTTCCGCGTATCTGGCTTGCCAATTTGGCATTTGAAGGGTCTTGAAGATGACGGCGGGCTGAACAGTGCACGTTGGCCATCCAAGCGTTGCACCTCGGAGTTTCCAGTCTGCACGGGTCGGGCTGCATCAGCGCAGAGGGACCGCAATACTCAATCCAAAACCATTTGAGCCCAGCACCCCCTCCGGAACTACAGTCCGGGTCTGCAAACGACGTGTCTCTATTTCATCTCACGTTTCCGAGAATGTCGTCGTCGTGCCCCACATGCACATTTGAACGAGTGCATGCAAAGGGCTAGCGGCTAGAGGCCCGCCTGCCCACGTTCCCCCCTTACAGTCTTCGTGCGCGTCCTAGTTACCTGGTTCATGAAAGCTCGTGTTGCGTGGCCTACTGACCTAAGGGGGTATGCGCGATGCTCGGTGGGTGTTTCAATTGTCCTGGCTTTTGCGCCTGAAAACTAGTCTGATCGAAGATGTCCTGCCCTGTAGAGTAGATGTTAAGCCCTTCGTACTGTGCACACAGAACGGCTCCGGCTTTGTCTCCCTCGGCCACACTAGGCGGATGGCCAGGAGCCCGGAAGCCCCAAAACCTAAGTGCACCGGTAACGGAGCTGTCGCGCAGGCCTGCATGCTGCTGGGCCTCTCTGGGCAACCGATGCCTGCGGAGGTGCAGAAGGCCAATGCCGATGATGCCTCGTGAAACATGTTGAGCTTTAGGGTTGTGGCCTTAATTAAGGGCCTTTTTTAGGCCTAGGGTACGCGGTGTGTGCAAAAACAGGCCCGAAATCGTGGTTTTTGGGTGTCGCGCAGGTCAGAAGACGGATGGCATTGCGATGGCACCCGGCACCGAGACAACAGTTAGCCTCCACATGGACGTTTAGGGTTCACCCGGCTTCTTTTGTACCTTATTGAGGGCTTGAATCGATCAAAGTTAAACCCATGTAAGACATTGATTTCCAGTGTATCCCAATGGCGACAGCACATGTCGCAGATGCTGCATGCGGCAACTCAGGACAAGAACCCGGACGATGCCAAAGCACACATGGCCTTTCAGCTCGCAACTTGCCATGCCAACAGATACCATTGGGGCGTGAATGTCTGATCATGACAAGGAAGACCTGCAGCAAAAGGTTGCAGTATGTGCTTCGGCTGGGTATGAAAAGCAGTGCCCTGAAATAGCAAACCCTAAGCTCCTGAAGCCTTTCAAGTCCTGACTTAAGCTGCAAGTAAGGGCTCTGAACCCTGGAGACAAGCAAAAGAGGTGATGGCGGCTGCGGAGAGGCTGAATGCGTGAGCCCAGCAGGGAAGTGTGGGACTGCCAAACATAGTGTGGGCTCTGAGGGACAGAGCTGCAGGGTCTAGATTCCCGTATAGTAGTATACGTTATTTGCTATATTTAGTTTGTACATATACACACATATATAAATATGAATATAAATAAATAAATGTAAATAAATACGCAAAAAAGAAAAATGTATGTATACATATATGTATATATATATATACATAGAGCTGCAAATAAACATGGATATATTTTTGGGGCAGAAAGGGCAGAAAAGGGGTAACTGTCCGCCTCCCACGCCTCCCTGGGCAATCGCCGTGCGTAAGTCTTGGCTGCTCAGAGGCATGCTGTTCCCACATGCGATAAGAAGTACATTGTTTAAAAGACTACAAAAAGGCTCTATATGCTGGGAACCCTACAGTACTTCATCGCCAGGACGCTTTAAGGCTGATGACAAGGGTTAAATGCTCAAACCAATGATTCTGGGGCACGGTCAGTTGGAGCATCTCGGTTAATTAACCCAGGCAAGCGCAGCACTCGGTGACATTGTGGAAGTACTGCCGCATGCTTCTGCTGTTCCACTGCATGCCGAGCATGTGCCATTTTCCGCACACTTGGTGCATTGGTAGGTGAGATTGAAAACATTGCGAATCTAGGGGTTCTCATCACCTAGCAGTCTGCAAAGTGCTACCCGACTAGTCCCAAGTAGTCCAGTAGTTCGTGCCGGAGGTTGAACGCACATTCTGCACTCTTTAGCTCCTGTGCTGCCCTAGGAAGCGCCTCCAAACACAGCCAGGAGCAAAAAGAGGATCGCATCGCAGGGTTGAGAACTGACCCGAGTCTTCGGAGTTCATGGGACTTTCCGAAACTCAACCCCCCAAGACCTGAGACAGCCTCTCTGCACCAGTAAGCTCGCCCCGAAATACCCGTTTCAGGTTCTCAACCAGCTCCTGAAGCCGACCTCGATGCGCTGGCCTCAGCACGGCGGCCGCTTTTTCCCTCAGAAATTGCAGGGCCCTGGGTTGGGTGTCCATCGAACATCGGCATGTGCAAGGTTTCAAGAGTCGCTGAGGCCCTGTGAGCCCGCCATTTGGTGCGAAGTGGAGGTCCTGGCCATGGAGCCTCTTGCTGCCGAGCTCTCGAAATTGCTCCCCTTAAGCCTACTACCAGAGACAGCACCGACTATGATACCTTCGGCTCTTTTTATTCGGGGTCTCAGTTCTCTGGACTCCTGGTGCCCTGCGCCAGCACTCCCCGGGCGCGCGCTTGGGCGAGTGGCGGGAGCCGGGGGACCCAAGTGAGCTTTCTTCGGGTTCCCCTTCTCTGAAGGGTTTGAGGGTCCAGAAATAGACCCCCCATGAAATCGAAGCCCTAAGCTCCTAAAACCCTATGTGGGAGCGAGAACGACGCCCTCAGCCCTCAGCCCCTGGGTCAACGACATCCCAAGCCTTCAGAAGGTTCTTGGTTCTTGATGGTTTAGGGTATATAGGGTTTAGCCCTAAACCCTAAACCCTAAACCCTAAACCCTAAACCCTAAACCCTAAACCCTAAACCCTAAACCCTGAACCCTAAACCCTAAACCCTAAACCCTGAAGAGTTCCAAAGGTGGAGCAGGGTTGGGTTCGGAGTCACTGAGTCGGTAAACATGTCGGGTTGCTGATTCCGTAAACATGGGCCGTGTTGGCGTGTCCTAAATAAAAAGACGGCTCCGGTCTCCGCGCTGCACTTGTAAAGGGACAACAAATTGGAGAACTCTTGCACCATCTCCCTCCCTTCCCCCCCCCACACCGAACCCAATCCGAAGAGCAGCCTGAGCGAACTTCGAGAGGTGACCTCGAATCACTTCACTCCACCCAACCCTAAATCCACATCATTGGAGCCTTGCCTGCGCGTGCGCTAGTGTGAGAGTCGAAATACATATCATTTTGCCGATGTGTGTTGTTACGGCCCTCATAATTTCTACTCTTCCGACCATGGCCAATAGCTCTTATCATCATCTCGAGGATTATTCCATCCCAAGCTTGTTGGCCGTGAAAGCTCCTTGCCATGCCATGGGCGGTGTGGTTCAGCGAAGGAGGCGCGACCGGTTGCTCTTCCATTCGGGCCGATGTCTTGCATCGGTGTTTTTTGGCTTCTTCCTGCCTCTTTTCTTCTCCTGCACACATATGACCGCTGAGTTGATGCTTTTCCGCAGGTTCAGCTGAATTGGATTCTGCGGCGTGTAGCCCACAGCTGAGCCATGTACCACGTCAGCAGAGCCCCCTGAAGCCAACAACCTTCACGCTGCCAGCCTCTTTTGCCTGGTAACTTCTCCTCTGGCGGCTTGAAACCTTCGGCGCAGGCTGCTGGCGGCTCTTCGAGGCCAAGGGGGCTCCCCAAAAGTTCTTAAGGTTTCTTGCGGCTTCGGGGCGCAGAGGTAGAGGGGCAAAAGGCGTCCTGAATCTGGGTTCCTCTGGTCTAGGCACACTCGGCCAAGAGGTGCACAACATTTTGGCATTTCGCTGAGTGTTGGACGCCTATCTGGAATCTCGGGCCTTCTCCCTCCACATCCTACTAGGTAGACCACAGATTTCTGAAACACGCACCCGAAACACCAAGCATTCATTCGGCTTAGGGTTTGGGTTTGGGCTGCTCAGACTCAAACGGTCGAGGGTCTTGAGCTGTGCGAAGCCCGTCAGAGGTACCTAACTTTGGCCGTCAGCATGCATCAGATATGCAGAGCTGCCAACGCTTGTACATCAAAACCCCAGAGCCCTAAACGATAGGCAGCAGCTGACATTTCCCAGGCCCAATCCCTAACCCCATAGCCCCACCCCAGCCACCCCCCCCCAAGTTCCAACGCCCAAGGCCGTGTTTTCGACACCCTAAGCTTGCCCTGTGAGCCATGGTTTGGGCGCGAAACTGGGTCCACCATCGCCTCGCGCAGCTGCTGCTTGTCTTGGAACCGTCGGTTGTTGTTGCTATGTGCCCTCGTGTAGTGTTGGGGAGCGTCAAAGCAGCGCGTGGGGTGACTTGGCATCGACATGTGTCACTTTCGAAGAGTGGAGGCTCGGCCACCAGACAGCCTTCGCCCTGACGCGATGGGGCCGGGCAGGGCATGGGGGAATGCTTCGTTTGGGTGTAATTGTGATGGTATGGAAGGGAGGCCGGCGTAGCAAAGCTCAGCACGTGTGCCAGTCGAGACTCTCTCTCTCTCTCTCTTTCTCTTTCTCTCTCTCTCTCTCTCTCTCTCTCTCTCTCTCTCTCTCTCCTGTGGCAGGCATCGGCAGGTCGGTGGCGACCCTGCTGGCGCGTGTAGGCAAGTTGCGGCATGAAAGCTGCCCTGAAGATGGAACGAGAAGAGACCACCAAGCGAAGCCAAACATGAGAGTTGCGCCAAACAGACCCGCAGGGAGCTGCCAACCCCACCTGAGATTCTGAAAGCTTCAGTCCAGGGGTTCGGGGTGGGTGCTTCCAGACACCCTGCGCCCTAGTTCCAAACGGGTTGGGGCAAGTGGCCTTAAGCCTTTTCGACCCTGTTCAGAAGGAACCCTCAAAACCCCCTGCCAGGCACGCAGAAGATCGCCCTCGGAGCTGTCGCCACAGGTGCAACAGGCCTCCACCTCCACCAAAACACCAAGGAGCCCGTGCTTAGAGTCGCCGTATGCGCAAAGCCTTGGGGGCAAGGGTGTTTGAGGCAAGCACAAGAACATGTCTTTGGCTTGCGACTGTATGCAACTGAAGTGTGACCGTTAATCCAAGCAGTTCGAACCTGAAAGGAGCGGCACACTCTGGGTGGCGACGTGCTGGCGTCGGGCCAGGAGGTGGAATGGAGTCCCAGCTGGACAAGTTCATAGTCAAAGTAAGCGGAGGCAATGAGAGGTCGAGAATATGCGAAGTCTGACAAGCGCCCGCATCCTAAAGCCCAGCTTAGACTCTCCTCCAGGCTTTCTGCTCTGTTGCCAACAAAGACCACCTGTGCAGAACACAATTCTTTGTAGCCTGACTAGCTTTTGGACAGGATTGCTTTTGAGTACTGCATGCACGATTGTTTACATATACTTTCATCGTCCCGAGATCCAGCCTGAGGTTGAACGCGGCCATCCGCCCCATCTGGGAGCATCTGAATGCAGGTGCCTTTGCTTCCTTTATTGTGAGAGAGAGGGCCGATAGCAGGGCAATTAGATCAGCACCTTGCACATCTCGAACAGAGCCCAAGGCTCCCCCTTATACCAGCAGCCCTTGATAGGGATGATCATCGGGGGTCCTATCCTATCTCCTTCAGTATCGCCCAATGCTAATCCCAACTTGCTGCTGCCCCAGTTTGCTCCGCGTGCCTTGGCCTCAGGTTTTCGCCGGCTCATCGAAGTGACTTGGGCGGCTTAAGGATGTCTTCAAGGGTTTAGGGTTTAGGGTTTAGGGGATAGCTCCGGTTTCAAAGAGGGTTTAGGGGAATGAAGGCCGAAACTCATTTATAATCCCAAATCTTACAATGCTACTGCTGGCTCGGCGTGAGAAGGCCGAAGTCCCCAGCCCCGGAAGACTAAATCCGAAGTGAGGATGAGATCCAGCCCGCATTGCAGAAGCGTCTGGGTGTCGTTGGCTCCCTTGCTGCACATGCAAGGGATGCTCAGCAGTGCACGGTCTCTCCTGTGGTTTTAACATTGAGATTGAGATTGGGAGAAGGAGAGAGGGAGAGAGAGCGAGAGAGAGCGAGTGGGGCCTAAGCGAAGTGGGGCAGTTGCCATCTCACATGTGGGAAACGGCAGCTGAGTTCACGAAGTTGTGATGTGTGGGAGCGGAGAAGCCAGGTCAGTGACACATGGTGCGAGCGTGCCGCGCGGGCCATGCCAGACCTGCCCAGGGGGGGAGGGGAGACTCAGTTCTCAGCCCGGCAGAAGGAAGAAGACGAAAACGAAGAAAGAAGGAGAGAGAGAGAGCTGAGATTCAGCCTCTTCTGGGCCCTTAGTTTGCAGGTGGCCTCATGGGACCAGCGTCGTGAGTTTTTGGAAGTTGGCGGCGATGTATCCAGGTAGCTACATCTCCTTCACCAAGCTGTCCCTGGGTCAATCTGCTCCTCGATTTGGGCCTGTGCGCGTGAAGCCCGGCAGACATGAGCACAGAGTGGGGGCGATGAAATGTCATTACTACCTGCAAACTCAAGGGCCGCAGTGCAGAAGCGGGGCTTAATTGAACAGAGGTTGTTGTGGTTCACAAAGCCTGTCCAATGCCTCCGAACAGTTGCAGGTGCTTGTCTTGGAGCTCGGTCAAAGGTGGCAGGTGGAACATTCAGTCATTAAGCCCCAATAATTCGCGACGCAGGTGTGACATATTTAGTGATCTCAGTGGCTCCGCGTGTGTGAGAGGCGCCGCCTGCGGGATTGGCTATGTTTGAAACACTCTCGCGAACCTCGGGTCAATAAGCTGACAGAGGGCAGCTTGCAAAGGCAGGTCCTCCCCCTCAAAACGACCTAAACCCTAATTTACACTAAACCCTAAAACTTGGCGAGCATGAGCCCCGATAGCAGTGGCTACACGTCTTCCTTTTCTAGTGCAACGTCTCAGATGTCGTGTAGCCGCCAATCACGATCGCGAGCCTCCTTGCAGCATTTCCGCTCTTGCCTGTCTATGCTGGGGCCCGGGTGGCGTCTGTTGTGGTTGAGCTTCTTGGTGTTTGAGATCGTGGCATCGTGGCAAGAGCGAGCTGAGAGAGGGGGGTGCGCAAGTTTTATTCGTCCAGCTCTGCGGGGGCAAGAAAACACAAAGCAACCCCTAAAACAAAAGACCCTCCGCTTACGCCAGTGTGAGAGTCGAAACCCCTCCCCCAGCCCCCGCCCCCCCCCCCCTCCGAGAAAACAAGAAAAAACCGAGGACCCGGTCCAGCCATGGCCTTGAAATCAACGTGGGCTTCTGCTTGGAGGGCAACGGCTTGATTGAGTTTTCCACAGGCGCCTTGGGGTCTCGAGACCTCTGGATTCTAAAGCTAGGGGTGTGGGATTTCATCTAGGGTCTCCGTTTGTTTTTTATTTTTGCCGTTGGGGTGTGGGTTTTTCACTTCGGGGTGTGGGATTTGAAGGGGTCGCAATGATCCCATGCTCCGGATGAGAACCAATCCAGGCCCCGGGCCTCCCCATGCTTGAGGCTTGAGTAGAAGTGACAGAACCGGAACCAGCTTCGAGCTCCTGAGCTTTCTGGAGCCCAGATGCTGCCCAAAGAAGCACCCCCCGTCCTCGAAGACTTGGGCGTGCCCCAGTCCAGCCAAAGTCAGGTGTTGCCTCCATCCAGGTGAGCAACATCACTGTGGAGGCGAGTTGTGTTTTGGGGCTTCAAGGTCTTTCGGAGGATCCCTGTGGAACCCCGCCAAAGTCCGCATATTCGGGCGCCCAGCGACGGCTCCGGCTTCGTTAGCCAAGCCTTTCCGGGCCCCTCAAAAGAGAGACATCATCATCAGAAAGCTTTCTATTCGCAAGAATATGGTCATAAACGCGGTGGGGAATCCCAAGGAGGATGGGGCCTCTGTACAGCCTTTTACCAGACTTCCCTGGAAGAACTGTCTTTGCTGGCTCTCTGGGCCTTCTGGGCATGGGAGACTAGAGCCATCAACCAACATGGGGCCCAGTACTAAATCCAAAAGTGCTCCTGTCCTCCGATGTTCATCACTTTCCAAGCCAGGGTTCCCTTCTTTGACCCATGAATCCCACACACCTTCCGAAACCCAAGCCCAATCCCCGTCCCATAGTTTGTTCATGTCTGCCCATCTCAATGGACTTCTACAATGGAACACTGACGCCCTTCTTAAAGCCTTACCAACCCTAAAAGCACCATAAACCCTAAACCCTAAACCCTAAACCCTAAACCCTAAACCCTAAACCCTAAACCCTAAACCGTGTTTGCCTCGCCTGGCTTGTCCGAGTGTGAAACCCTAGACCCTAAACCCAAAATAGCCACCCAAGCCCAAAATCTCCCTCCAAGGGCACCCTCAGGGTTGGCCTGCATCCACTGGTCGACTCGCTGAATCCGGTGGGAGGGATCTCCGTCACCTGCCTGGCCCCTCGCTTTTCTGGGGCCTTTCAGGGGCCTTCTAGGGCCTTTGAGGATTTCGGGGCCCTTTTAGTGGCCTTTAGGGTTTGGGGTGTGGGGTTTAGGGCCTTCGGGCTTGTGGGGAGGGCTTAGGCTTCCATGTTGTAGTTTGTAAAACGAGCGTCTCTTCGGTCTTCGGGTGGGTTTAAGTGGGTGGAGCCGAGCACCGGAAGCGCCGGGATTGTTGGCTGGAGTGTTTTCGGGCTTCAAGGACCCTATTCGCCCTTATTGGGCAGAAGTCGTTCAAGCAAGTATTACTTGGTAGCAACAAATGGTAGAACCCGAAATACCTAGAAGAGAGAATGAACAGTGCTCGAAGAATTTTCGTAATCTCGTTGCCCCAGGACAGGCCGACAATCGACTTGACCATCAAAGCCGGTTCTCCGCTCCAAGTCAGAAGTGTTTTGGTCCTTTGAGCTTTGGATGCCGTTGGGAATCGCCAAGAAAGCGCTTCAAATCCCCAACAGAATAGCTGCAAGCCCGAAACTGCAAGCCCCAGCAATCTGCGGCTCCTCATCCTGTCAGCCCAGACCCTTTTGCGCCCTGCAACCAGTGGTCCAGGGTCCGAGTTCATCCCCAACCTGTACAACTTCGTACGTGACACGGTGGACGACGTGGTCGCCAGCCTGCTTGTGATGCCGAACGTCATCGCGATACCGCTGGCGCGGCTGTGGGTTCGGGCTTAAATTAATTCAGGGGTTTCAGGGGTGTCAGGCCTGCGCCATGAGGAAGTTCAGCTGGCTCAGGGTGCAGGAATAACTAAGCTTGCGAGACCCACGGGCTTCGCGACCCTAACTTGCAAAGGTTGATGGGGCTGGAGGATGCTTGAAGGTCTTGTTGTCCACCATCTCCTCTACCACTGCTCTTTCTTTGAGACATATGGTGGTTGCCGATTTGGGGCCTTTTGAGGGACTCAGATCCAAGAAGGGGAATAGCGCGCCTGCGAGCAGGAAACCTTCGGTCCCGTCACGGACGCGTGCGCGATCCGGCATCCGGCACCCTTGGGCTACCTGCGGGTGGCTCTTGCTGAAGCCTTGTGTGTCTGGCTTTATGCAGGATCTCCTTTATGCAGTTACGACAGTTCTGTCATCACTCCAAAGAAGGGCCCTACCATTAGAGTTTCAAGCGAGGGGATTTTGCTTCGGGGTGGTTGGGGATTTGTTGGCGGCTTGCCGACTTGGCCTTTCTTGGCGTGCCATCAGCGGTTGCTCTGCTGACAGACCAAAGTTATACAGTTATACCCACCAAAACCACTAGGTTTTGAGGACCTAGCTCCTGCACAGGCAAACTGAAGACCTGCCCTCAGCAACAAACCTCTCAGCATTCTCTTCCCCACCCCCTGAGTCGTAAACTCTGGAGTCCCCGCGCGTGACAAGCGTGAGGGTCCTGTTTAGCACTTTAGTATTTTCTTGTCATGTTACATAGGGTGGGGTGGTAAGTATGTGATACTTCGCAGAATTTTTGTAAGTGGTGGTAAATTGTGTTAATGGCAACCGTTTACAAACAGTACAGTAGGTTCAAAGGCTTGCAAACAGTTCTTAGATGGTATTGAGTATCCTGTGAATATGGGGGGCCACCAGAGGTGCGCCTCGAGGGCGTTAGCTCCGCGGCCGCCTTGCCAAGCGGCCTCTACGTCGAGGACCGGCATTGTGTGCTTCAGAGCCTCTGAGGATTGCGGAGTAATTAAACCCTAAACCCTAAACCCTAAACCCTAAACCCTAAATCCTAAACCCTAACCCGAAACCCTAAACCCTAAACCCTAAACTCTAAACCCTAAACCCTAAACCCTAAACTAGGGGTCCCCTGCAGATGATGATCGGCTGCAGCTCCTGGAAGAGCTCCGTGTGCCGGGCAAAGCAAGATCCCAACCACGCGGAATGGCCTGAAGACGCTGCCGAGGAGAACCGGGGGATGCAATGATGCAAGGACTTCAGTGGCTTGAGCAATTGAGTTGTTCAAGATTTGGAGTTCTGCGCGGGTTTTACAAATGGGATTTGGGCAGAGGGGTCTACCGCACCGCACCAACAGTCGACAGTCGCACAAGGGCTCTGACTGAGGCATGAGCCAGGCTTGGATTCTCTAAAGTAACCACCTGCACCCAAACCCGATGGACATTACCCGAAACAAAACAAACACAACAAACAAGCAATCGTCATGGTCGTCGAGGAGCCCTGCTGTGTTGTGTGAGCTAGTTCAGCTATACGCGAGACCGAACATGCAAGCAGTCGTCATCAGGACTTCGCTGTGCATTCCCACGACCAGTCCATCCGGCTGCGACTTTACTCTAGCTCCAGCTTTGGGGCAGCCCCTTCGTTCGCATGCGTCCGATTGCCAAACGTGCCCGGCATCTGAAGCATTCGACACTGCGAGCCGAGTGGTGCAGTGAAAGGTGCTTCTGGGGACCGCGCGCGTTTTCATCCACGACTTGGCAGCTGGCCGAGTTGAGGCGGGAAACAGAAAGAAGCCCTAGGGCCCTAAGCTGGCCAAGCCCCATTTATGCTTAAAGCGGGGAAACGTCGGAAACTTCTCAGCGCATGTTGGAGGGAGACTCTCAAGTGAGGCAAGAGGCAGACAACAGTTAGTGGTCGGAAGGGGGTCCGGGAAAGCAGTGGCCCTCTCCCGCGTGTGCACCCACATCACCCTTTCTTGCAGGTGCCGATGTACTCAGACGACTCTCAAGCCAAGCAAATCTGCTGCACCTTGCAAGGTGCCTCTGATGGACGCTGGGACCGAGGCACGGGCACACCACAGGCTGAAGTGCGCAGAGCCAGGGAGTGAGACCTGCAAGGACGCAGCCGAGACTCGCTCTGTTGAGCTTGAACTCCTTTGGTCCCCGGTCCGGGAGGAGCCGTTGCAACATCGAAACTCCCCCAAACAGAACCGGAGAACGGCCCCAAAACCCCCCAAAGCGAACTAGTAGCTAGTTTGAGATTCCGACGTCCAGGAGCCACCGGCCAAAGCTTCCGTGCGCCCACGCCTCGCAGGCGCGCCGCCCGGGAAGGAAAAAGGACTTCTCACGCCTTCGACTCCCGGAGTTGAGGGCCGTAGGGCCTTAGGGGAAAAGGGTGGAAAAAGTAGGAGGGGTCTCCCATCTTTGCAGAGGTGCTCCGCCGGCGGAGGGCTTCGTCTTGGCCTCCATCCACTTGCACCGCGTGTCGAATGTGCAGTCGGACAGGCCCAGCAGCGTGACGCGAGGGTAAGTATGCATTTTGGGGCCTAGCAAAGCTCCCCTTTCTTTGCTCCAAAATAACTACCTCTGCGCAGAGCGCACACACACACACATTGAAGTTCAGGAGTGGCCAGCAAGTTGTGTTTTTTTTGTTTCTCTCTCTCTCTCTCTTTTTTTGTATGTTTTTTTCACTCTCTCACTCTTCTTACTCTCTTGCTCTCTTACTCTCTCACTCTCTCTCTCTCTCATGCGTTGGGGCTTATTGGTCACTGGCTGTTGCTGTTGAAGGTGAGAAATTTCCACCATTCAGCCTTCAACAAGCCAAGATTCAGCCAGTGTTTCAAAACCTTGAAGCAAACACGACGAACCTTGCACCCTTGAAGCAAATTGCCTGAAACCCTAAGGCCCTAAGCCCGAAACCCGCTGCACGGTACCTTACTTTTGGAATTGTTGGTCCTCAGTGTTTCGGACGAGTCCCATGTCGGAGTCATGTCTGAATAAGGCTTGCTTTTCTTGCTTGGCCACTGAACCCTATCAACCGAAAGCCCTGAACCCTCAGGGTAAACCCTACAAACCCTAAACCCTGCACCTTAAACCCTACAAACCCTAAACAACCTCCCATCCAGGAAGCACAAAGTCCATGTGAAGCTCGGCGCCGCCGACTACTTCTCGGACAGCTTTCCAGCTTGCCCTCCTGAACTCATACCCTCTGTGTTGGGTGACGACTTTGTAGCAATCTCGTGCCGCGCTTGGGGGTTGTGAACGCTGGCACCCCATACAGCGTTGTTCCTTCACTACTCCAGGAGGTGGGTTCCGCGCCCCCGGAGTTGGTGCATCAGATTGCGGATGACGTGCCCCTTGCCAGGACATGGGCAGTCGGCATGTTGCTGCTACAGCAAACCATCCTGGCTGAGGCTGTTAACGTTCTTGCCGCCTAGTAGACCAGCCGCCCAACTCTCGTAATCTCTGGTAGCCCACATGCTCCAGCGAGCTAGAATGAGGGCATACCTGGTTTTGCACCATGTTTTGCAACAGGGCATTGAGCGTTTAGGGTTGAGGGGGTTCGGGTCCGCGATCGCCACAGTCGTCATTCAGTGGAAGCCTCCCCTTCTGGGCCCTAAAGTTAAGATTCCGAATTCGCCCTTAAGGCTACTAGAGCTGGCGCTGAAACTCTGTGGAAAGTTGCCGCTGGCGGACTTTTCGGATGCGACCCGGCCGCGTCAAGAGTCTTAACCCGGGGTTTGGATGCAAAACAGGGTGGATGGCTCTTGTATTGGGGGGTCTTCCGCCTTGCCCGGGTTCGCTCAGCCCCCTAAATCATCCAAGAACCCCAGGCTCTCGGGGTCTCAGTCGACCACGCGCGCGACTTCGCCCGAGAGGTCGAGCGCCGTCGCCGCAGCGGCGCCGCTGGGACGGCGAGTGGTGGTCATCTAAACGGGTGCCACTGAAACCCCAACAGCTTCTCTCCCAAACCCCAAACCCTAAACCCTAGACCCTAGACCCTAAACCCCAAACCCTACTCGCCTTTTTTTGTGGCCCAGGAGCTGGCAAAGTCCGGCCTTGAAGGCTTGGGCTGCCGTGGTCATGGTCATGACACCACGCGTAGTCGGAGGGGCGCAGCAAGAATGGCAAACAGCGGCAGTTTGGCAGCTTCTGTGACTATATTGTTCTGCTACTATATCACTCTATTGCTATATATATATATATCATATCATGATGGGATATGTCACTATATTATCTTGATTTCTTGTCTTTGCGAGCTTTAGCCCCAACCAGGCTGGGATCGCGGCTGGTGTGAGCGTGCAAGGCAGGCGGCGCAGGATAGGGCCGCGATCAGGCCACTTTGCCGGCAAGTTCAATCTGAGGGTGTACGGATACCGCCTAAGTCCTGAATCTCTTTCCAGGTCCAGACTTCAACGAGAAGGTGTTTCGGGATCCTCAATTCGTGCTTCGTTCATGGAGGATGGGGGATTACCGATTGCTAGTGTCGATTTACGCGATTAGAATGTTCGAAGTCTTTTTCATCAGCTTGAGGTGTTGAAGGACCTTAGGGGTCGGTATTTGTAAAATCCCTGTAACTTGGGCGGCCCACCAAATTAGCCACCTATCGTCATGTGATCCTGCATCATCCAGGCGGCAAGATCGAACACTCACTCTCGCTGTCTTGTTTAGGCTTTAGGGTTTAGGGTTTAGGGTTTAGGGTTTAGGGTTTAGGGGTTTAGGGTTTAGGGTTTAGGGGGTCTTCAAGGCATTCTCAGAAAACTGGGGAGTTTGCAAACCCTAGGTCAAGTAGACGGAGGGGCGGAGGCTCTCGACTCATCGGGCTTTCCTGGGCCTCGTTTCCTGAGGAACCCCCACTTCGATCATGCTCCTTGGTCATGGCACACAAGGGCCCAAAGGGTTGCAGGGCAAAAGAGGGCTCAAAGAAGTTCGGGAGGTTTGCTTTAGAGCAGGAAAGGGGATTCCGGGACTTGTTTGTATGTCAGAGTTCAGACTCTCTGGCGAGTGTGGCCCGGTAAATTGAGTCTTTGGGCCTGGGATTTTTCGAGGAACCTCCGATTCTTCACTGCATCAGTAGCCCAGTGGTGGAGAACGCGCGCCGCTCTCTGTTTTTCGTGCTTTGGGCTGTGCCTTCTGAACCGTTTCGACACCGTGAGCCTTGAACCAACGCTACGGGGTGTTGTTTCTCGTGCTTACTTGTAAGACTGGCGAGTAGGCGCGGAAGACGTTGGGCTAGCTGCAGTCATTGTTCTGAAAGACCTTGCCCCCCTCTAATTTGGGAACTCTGGGCGGGAGGTGTGCCATCTGCGGGCCAAGCCGAGCGACCCGCTGATGATCGAGCTTGTGGGAGCCGGCTTTCTCACGCGGAAACCCCAAGCCCGGTCTGAAATTCGGAATCTAAAGTGTGGCTGTTGAGGTCCAGCCCATTCCAGCCCCGCGGGTGGCACCCTGGGGTTGAACAGTGTTAAAACCCATGGTGTGACATCTATCTGGTAACCTTACGGGTTCTCCAAAAGTTGGACACTTTTCCTACAAGTGGGTGTGTCTGTGGCGCCTGAAGCCTGGGGCAGGAGAAGACGGCTCAAGTACGGCGCGTTTCGATGCCGATCTCGGCTCAGTGGTCCAGCAAGGTGGTGCTCAAAAGGATGTCGGGCTTTAGGGCCCCAGGGCCTTTTATTTACACTCTTCGGGGGCTTCCTTGGGGAGTTGTAAAGGCTGAGGGTGCCTGTCAGCGTAGCCTCTGGAGCACTGTGCAAAGCGTCTGCAGCCTCAGATCTATGCCCCCCGTATGGAGTACACTGATATGGGGGATTGCCACACTGGGGGGACCTTATTGGGTCCTTATTCATGGCCTCCTTCTTTTGGGGGTTCTATATAGCAGGATTTCCCCCCCCCCCCCCCCTCCAATATGCAAGCTCCCAGATGAAGGCGGCTTCTTGGAGGGGCCGTTTCAACTCCGATCGCCCGACGGCATGGAGTGTACACTCCATGGGCACATCCGGCTCCGACGCCTCGAGGTGGGGGGTTCCGACGTCCAAGCCTTGGGGGTCCTTATGCAGCTACTATGGCCCCCTTGGGAGGGTTGTTTAACCCAAGGGAATATAAAGCAACAACATGTGTTATACTAAGGGCAGTGATGAAGCACTTTAAGCCTCCCCCCCGCCCTGCAGGCCCCTGTCCGTCGTGACCGGGTGCAGGACTTCTCGGGCAAAGCCGTGCTAGGGCAAGAAAAGCCGGCATTTTTCCCTCCCCCCCCCCGCCCCGAAAACACCGAAGACCCTGAAGGTTACATCTCTAATTGCAACGAGGCTTTCCGAAGAGTGATAACCCGAAACCCTAAACCCTGAACCCTAAACCCTAAGTGCAAAAAATAAACCTAAACCCCGGCAGGGTGGCAGAAAAAAACCGGCCACATGTCGATGCCCGGAACCCTTGATGCAAAAGCGCAGGAGCGGCTACTCAATGAGAGCTCTTGGGATGACACATCCCGGCTGTAGTCAGGAATCAGGCTCTGCATGTTGAATGTTGGGTCAGGGGTATAGGGAAAGTGAGGGGTGTAGGCTTCAGCAAGCTTTTTTTGTTTTGGTACGGGTTCCTGATTCAGCTGAAGGCAGCAAGCCTGTTCTGCTCCAGAGCTTTAAGCTCCGGCCCTGCTCCACGAGTGGTGGCTTGCATGTGGGGGTCATGTGGAGGCCTGATCAGAACTGTTTTACAGATCGGCTCATCCAACTCAGCTGCGGTTTGGTTGCAGGTAGCCTGGGTGACCACTGCCGAACGCGGTTCTCCTGCAGCTGTTGTTGCCGTACAAGGCGGCAGTTGTGTTGTGGCGTCACGTGCCGCAGACGTGGGGAGGTGCCCGCATGGGCCCACATGTCGGCAGCATTTAGATCCCGTTGCTGATCATCGGGTTCAGCGCATGACGCCTGATAGATTAATTGCGAGTTGCAAAAGAAGGCCCCGGCTCTTGGCTGCAGATGCTTCGAACTGAGAAGCTAACGTTCTGGTATCACCATGCAGAGTGACAGTGGTACCGCTACGATGCTTGCATCCTGCTTGCAGATATTTGGTCCGTTCCTGTTCCTTCTGCCCATATCTCGTCCTTCCAGTCCCACTATCCACAAGGCACTGGCTCCGGGCGCCCATCATGCACACTACATACAACCTGAAGATGGCTGAGGCTCAGCAAGACAATGCTTCGAAAGCCGCCAGATGTTCCCGACCAATGGCCACAGACCACAACCGAAACACGTTGCCCGCAGCCATGGCCGGGCCTGACACTGTGAACGGAACAGAGGCGACCAGGCGACCCTGATCCGTTGAGTGTAGCGCAGCAAGTGGTTCAGGGTTTCGTTCAGGGTTTCGGCAATGCCTTTTCCTCGCAGGACTTTGCAAGTACAGACAAGTCCTGACGCCACACATCCATGCTTCAAGCTTCAGCTCTAGTCTAGAATGTTGACCGTCTTGAACGTCTTGCCGCGTTCCAGTCGTAACCAGCCCCTGACACACACACACACACACACACACACACACACACACACACACACACACACACACACACACACACACACACACACACACACACACACACACACACCCACTACACACACACACACCCAAACACACACACCCAAACACACACACCCAAACACACACGCCCAAACACACACACACCACACACACACACACACCACAC